AATTCTAACTCTAAATAAAAGTTATCAATAATTTTTAATCTTCCCCATAACTTATATAAAACATACTTTGATATCGGTAGACATAAATAAATCGTAACAGAATAAAACCCAATAGCACTTAATTAAAAATTTAAAAAATAAACTTACCGAAAATATACTTAGTAAAATGTAAATGCATAAACGAAATAACGCAAATCGATGTATCCTAATACAGTACTCGTAAATAAAACAAAACCAAAACTACTCATAACTAATTTGACGAAGATTACATAAGACGCGGATCGAATATATTTATGATATCCAACTATGTTTATATATTTGCTGTTGTGATTCAAAGTGTCGGTGAAAGCCTAGTTTCCAGGCTGCCCGACCATAACAAGCGCCCGGACGTTGTATAAATGATTCAGCGAGAAATAAACGTCAGCCCCGGCAGTATCGCTGAGATATTTTCACTATTTTCCGCATCTAATAAGCTAAAATTTTCTCACCTCCAGCATACTGATCGGCTGTCTTACTCTCTTAAAGTGAGCATTTCTGTTGCTTCTGGATCATCAGTTGTGCATTTTCGCAAGAATAATAGTAAATATACCTACTTCTTATCGATGCAACTCCAAAGAAATATTAATTATTTTTCGGTCGAAAGATTTATTTGTGCTACCATTTATATCTAATAAAGTTTAATTTAAACAAATATTTAATGTTGGATTCCCCCAGCTATTTAGTGGCGTCTTCAAATTATGTTTTACATAAATGTTCAGCATTTTGAAATATGATTAATCTTTGGAATTAATAAAATCACTAACTCATATTTTATGTGTTGAATTTAGATACATTTCAAAATTCTGAATCTTACTAATACTTCTGAATCTAACACCAACAGCTTAGAGACATTACTAGTGAACATTTGATTTTGTGTCTGTAATCAATGCAGGAGGAACATTTTGATGAAAAAAAATTAAGAGGGTATGTAATATAAAATATTTCTATGTCAGCTACAAGAGTTATGTCTGGTGGAATCTTTTCCATTGAAACAAAAGATGAAAAATGTATAAAGAATAAACTGTATAAAATAAATGTATAAAAAAAATTATAAAATGTATAATGTTTGTTTTCACTTATTCTTGTTTTAAATTTAAATTTTAAAGTTTTTAAAAATCTTCATGAAAATTAAGGCTTATAGAAATGTGGAAGGTTTTTTTTATTTTTGGACGATTGCGTTTGAACACTTAATAAGAGTATATCTGAAACAACTAAAAACAAACCAGTAAGTCTTAAAATTGCTAGTAAAATCTGCACCTGTAGTCTAAAAAACATAACGACATATCTCCAAAAGATTATTTAATGAAAATCACTATAATCTTACAGAAAGCTTTGTACGATCAATTATATCTTCTCTATCAAACTCGAGGTATTTCAAAACACCTTATATCAAACGTTCATTTAGCTTTTAGGTTGGTTTTGTCATCAAAAGCTACAGTTGATTGAAAACATTGGTAGTTCAATGCCACGGAATAACAAAGATATACTGATCCCCTAAGAGCGCTTCCCTCTCAATAAATCTGTGACCACCCTTAAAAAGGGCCACAAATGGGGCCAACTGAGGGACATCTTGTCCCTTAAAGTGACAGTTACACTTGTTTATGGCTTTGTTAAGCATGTTAATGATGCATAAGTAATATAGTTTGTATGCTAAAAAGTAAAGGTAGTCATTAAAATGTAAAAAAATGTAGCATAATACACAACAATACACTTATATCACCCGAAATGAGGTTTTGTTTAAGATATAAATATCTTAAACAAATCTTAAATATCTGTCGCAGATTAGGCAAGTTATAGTTCATATGACTTTACTCTTATTATGTCTGAATCATTTTTTGTGTTATTACATTATCTATTTTTTCATTCCGACTGGTAAATCATATTTACCTGCGTGATGTAAAAACGCTCTTACTACACTTGTAAGGTATATAGCTATTACAAAGTAATCGTACCTACTACTGTCGGAAATATTTGGAGTTTATTCATCTTTTCACATGAAGAGATGTGATGCATTACTGTATTGGTTCGGTTATCCTTTATGTGTAATGTTTTAGGTACAATAAATGCGTGATTCCTATACGATATCATATTATTTAATGGTCTCATTTAACGGTTTTCCAAATTCGGAAAATGTACGCTATAAATAATAGTCGTATCTTTTGATTGAACGATATAGTTTTTTTTTATAATATGGCTAAAGTAATCTGGTAATTGTGTGAATATAAACCCAAGCCTCTAGATGTTCACTAGAGCAACCGCAGTTTTTTTTTTTTTTTTTTTTTAAGTAGGCCTAATCGTTGTATGTCAACCTCTCTGTTCTTAATTTTACTGCATACTACTTCATTGTATTTTATGGAAATACGAAATATGGAATATTGTTTGTAAATACTACCACAGTTTCTAATGTAATCGATTGTGCGAAAAATTACCGATACAAATCAACTTCAGTTTTGAACATGGTGAGACAAATTACTTAACTATTATTGTGGTTGTGGCGTAAATATTAAGAGAAATAATGAGATGTAGGCCACGGAAATGTGATTGTGTCGTTTGTCTAGAGACAGCTCCGCGGAGACGCTGCTCAAGATTGAAAATGAAAATTTAATAACGGCAAAGCGAAGTGGAGCCCGTCTCGCCGAGCGGCTTTTGTTGTTACTATACATAACGTGGTGATGTGTTTATCACTGGAGAAGTGTAAACAAAGGGGTAAATGTGTGGAAAATAGCCCTTTTCAGAGGATATAAGTTCTTGTTTAGGATTTTTGAAACTTGTTCGTTTTGTTAATCGGAAAAGTCACATTAGCCACTTGCAGAATAAATAAATTAAGTATATTAGGGGTTTTTATTAGCGAATTTCCCTATAGGGAAGTAGCTATTACCGTAGGTGGCACGGTAAGACCTAGACCCGGGACCGATTTACTTTTTCATTTTGATGTCCCTGATGAAATTTGGTTTTAAGGTGTAAAGCGGGATAAACTTGAATGAGTTCGCGAACCAGCATGATCGGACCATGCAAACGGGGCTTTACGGGGGGTTTTATGGGGTAAAAATTGGCTTTTCTGACTTTTGACCCTCAAAACACAAGATTTCCCAATTTCTCTTTAGACCTTTTTAAAGAGCTTAAAAAAACAAATAATTAAGTATATAACAGTATTTTTGTTCGGTTATTAGTAACGGAGAAAATTTAAAAATTGTGAATTTAAAATTCTCATGTTATTCTTATGGAGAATATTGTCAAATGTTGTAGTTTGCTTGTTAATGGATATATTTTGATCAAACTTGGCAAATTTATTTTTTTTGTACTAAGCTATCAATATTTTACTCAAAACACACTTTATTAGTTTCCTTGTAGCAGTAAACCTAGGTACTCGTTAAACCTAATGTTATTAAAATATATTTAACTGAAAATCAATTCAGACAAATGGAAATTCGCTTAGTCGGCAGGTTTGCTGCGGCGGGGTAGTATATGTTATCTTTTGTTTGTAATAGACAAATACTCAGAACAGTTTATAATGCATTAGTGAATTCTTAGATGGAATATGGTTTAACCATATGGAGAGGAACTAATTCTGTAAACTTAAAGCCAATTATAAATATTCAAAACACATTTTTTAGACTAATTATGAACAAGAAAAACCCCGACCACTCTTCCTCACAATGCTATTCAATCGTTAAGGATTTTACTACTTAAAAGCTTGTTCTATTTTAAAGTGTTACATCTGTTTTTTTTAAAGAAGTGGAAATAGGAAAGATCAGGAAACTTATTGATCTGTAAATTTACGAAAACGCGCATAGCAATCCCCAGACCAAACTTAACTCATTTTACAAATTTTTACTTTTACTCAGCCCCGAATTTTTTCAATTGTTTGCCTACAATATTTAAAAAATGTAAAACCAAAAACGTTTATTGGTGATTTATGGGATTATCTTTTATAAATAAATAGTTTTATTAATATGCAGATACATATTATTAAAGTATCTTTAATTATTTATAAATGTTGGAAAGGTTTATAACAGTGTTTATGTTTAAGAAACAGATAATGTGCGGTAGTTTTTATGTTTCTTTTGTGTTTATAAATGAATAGAATAATATTTGACAAGTGTGCCACCCACCATTACTATTATTGAGTTTATTATATCAAAGTAGATTGTGCAAATTCACCAAATCAGATTGAACATGATGGTTATTGTTTCGTGTACTGTAATTGCTGAATTTTAATGTTGTATGTAATATTGAAACAATAAAGATTTTTCTAATAATAATATAATATAATCGTTTAAAATATTTCCTATCGATGAAACTCTTGAACATGTAACAGTCCTTATGATTAGTATAGTGTTTTAGGGTTATATTAGTCTAAAAACGTTCAACTATATGATAAACGCCTTAAAGAGTAAGTGGGTAGCATAGGCATAGTTTATACTACAGTTAACTAGATTTTACTAAGTAATCAAACATAACAAGATTTGGTAGGTAGTTCATTTACGCATGGATATATCTAATGTACGAACTAATATCACATGAAATACACGTTATAAACAGTTAAGGGGGATTTTGTCGTGGAACTGCGGTATTCCATTTCTTAAACTGGGCCAAAACTAAACTAAGCATTTTTTGCTTACCAAAGATCTCAAATACACTTTCATGCCAAACATCATATTACAGCCTAGGGTGAAGGAGGTGTATGATATTTTTTGTCTCTAGTGGCTCTAGGTATAAATAGCCATTAACGATTGGGTTGATCTAAGCCCGGCCTGCACATCTGGGTCGGAAGTCTTGTATTCTGATCCTTTGATCAGGTGAACTCATACTTTTTAAATTTGAAGACTAAATAATTTCTTTTTAAAATTTAATTCGCGATAAAGTAGGCCCCTAGTTTGATGCAGTTCTCCAAATAGTCTTCTTTAACTCACAAATCCCCTTTTTTGCCTGCCTGTTTAAAATTATTGTTGTTTTCCCAGGAGGAGAGTCCTATCTAAGCAGTGCCAGTGAAGATGTGCCAGTGACGGAGAGGAGACCCCCAAGTGGATCAAACTCTCCCACATTACCTGCCCACTACCGCCACCACAGTCCTAGTAGACAGGCCTCACCTTATCCCATTGGTGCGTCAAATATCACACAATATAACTTTAGGTACTTTCCTGTTAAAGAGAGCATTTTTTATTATTGATGATTGTTTTCGATTTATCGATATTTTTGTTTTCCGATCAGAATATTGACAACAACAACTAACTGATCTTGTTTAGGCTAAAATAGTCTATATGCATTAAGAAATGAAACTGTTCTAAGCTAACCTAACATAACCAACCAAACTTGCTGTACCATTTAAAACTTCCGTTTGGGTTTGATAATAGAAAAGGCAAGTTAAACACGGAATTTTTAAATGTTACAGCAAGTTTGGTTAGTTATGTTAGGTTATTTTTTTATAACAGTTCCATATACTGAACAATATTTATCGTAGTTGTCAGCTGATATGTTTCAATTTGTTAATTCGATCTATCGAAAAAAATCATCGATAATAATGAATGTTCCCTTTAACAGGAAAGTACCTAACTTTATCTCTCTTCACATAGTTTCATATGCTAAGGTGTAGCTTAAATTATATTGAAATCTTTTGTAATCTCTAGATAAAGGTTTTATATTAATACTGTTTTCGTGATCGTTTTTATTAAATAAAATTGTATTAGTAATAAAATTAGTTTTGTTCCGTTTCAACAACTAATAAATATAGACATTCACTGATAAAATACACTTTAGTAGCGCTTAAGACTCGTTTCACTTCAGATAGAAAAATTTTTATTTACATTCCGTTATAATGATTTTAGTTCTACATATAATAAATTGCACTTTTAAATCCAACGCTTAAGAATCAGAAAACTATCTTTCTAAAGTATGAACCTCCATAGTATGCAGTGATTTGTCTTATATTTCTTCAAAAATATTAATCTGTCTTATATTTCAAAATGCCATAGCACTATCTGAAGCTTCAGTGATATATTTTATATTAATTCACCCAAGCATGGGAGCTTTGTAATTCAACCATTTTTTTACTTTTTTCACATTCTCCGAATCTATTTTTAGAAAGTCTACTAAATCTATGATAGAATGAATCCCTTTTATGCGTACGTAAGTGCAGATTGTTCGTGAAAGAGTCATTTTTGTACCTAGTGAGGAGTTTGTTTGTTTCATGTTATAATGAGTTAAATATATCAACTTTTTAGGTGGATGTTGGAATCGTTTTCCTAAACTTTATCGACTTTACTTGGTAATTTCTAGTGACGTGATTATACAGGATGTCCCTGTACTCTCTACTGACCTTTAAAGGCATCAGTCCTGGACCAAAGACAACCCAAAATATCAGGTTAAAAATTTCCAAATTCAAATATTACCCTTACAGCATCCATTTTGTTTTCCACTCATAGTATTCTTAAAATAAGTTAACTCCTTTGTTTATGAACAGGTTTTCTTAAATGTGGTATTGTAAGAATTTTAAGGGGCTTTGTTTACCTGGGTAGTTTTTTTTTTATTTTTAAATTTTATTTTACAGATAATGGCCGCCATTTTGAAACTACACATGAAAAAAATGATGGCTATGCTGGTAATATTTGTTAGAAATTTTTAACATGCTATTTTAGTTTGGTATTTGGTTATGGATCGATTTATTAAACGGTAAGTAGAGAGTTCAGGGACACTCTGTAGAAATATCTCTATGTACCAAGATTATAATTGTATCAGAATGCGCATTCATAACTTAATTTTACATCACAATTATGTTTGAATGGTTCTTTACCATTGTTTCTGGCAATATATTTAACTAGCTGTTACCCACGGCATTCACCCCGTTTGACATCATAAGTATTAATAAAACTATTGATTGTTTAAGCTGAGGTACTTTTAATTACGACCTTAAAGGGCAATTTTTGAAATAATCGATAGTTTTGCGCAAGGTTTCTCGTCATGACGAACATTTTAAGTATATGGTTTATGGGGGTATGACTGGTAGTGTTCTCAAAAGTGCATGGGTACTTTTGACTTTTTTTATAGATAAGCAAATCTGTTGCAGAATCAACAAACCTAACGTCGGGCACGTCAACTCCGGTGAACCCTAGTCTGAGTCCTAGGTTTGCTGCAGGGAGAGCTCAGGGGTACAAGAAGTCCTCTTCTCTGACCGGAGTAGTAGTGGGTGGCAAGAACAGCACAGGCACTCTAGGCAGCCGGAGAAAACATGTGACGTCATCGTCCAGTATGACGTCATCCGCCAGCTCTGACAACTGCTGTCACAGTGACGTCACATATCCCGAGGTCGACCGAAGGAAAGACCTTGTTGAAGGTAAGAATATTTTTCTTATCCAATTTAAATTGCAGTAGAGTCTCGATTATCTCACCTAAAGTGGCTGTGGTCAGGTTAGGAAAAAAAAAACTTTGTAAACAAGTAAATATTAGATAAACAAAGTTTTTCCGTTTTCACACCGATTGAAGACTTAAAGTTTGTCAAAAAAAAACGAATGCTTTTAAGTTTTAAGAAAAAAACTGAAAAATTTCAAAGTAAACCAACAATACTACATTTGTAAACCACATGTTATAGCTATACTTTCTTGTTCTCTCCCCCATAAATGTGGCCAAGACTAGGGTTATAGAATAGATGTATTAATTAATGAACTGTGTGATATAAAATATAACCAGGTTCGAATCGAAGGGGGTACAGACAGGGTCGGCGTAAAACAAACGCCGATAAACGCTATTCGAAAAAAAGACCAAATTCTAATTCATGTGAAGATCAAAATCTGATTAGCTGCTGCTACGAAGACCCTCTAATGGCCAAATATATGTTGTTGGCACTTCTAAAGCAAACAAAACTAATCAAAGGCACAAAGAATGGCGATTTAAATTGTTGGAATATCTAAAGCTTTATTAAAAGATTAATATTTACAGTTTTCTAAATGAGCATCGAAAGGAATGGTTGTGCCTTGTGTGAGAAAGAAATAATAAATTGAAACTTCGATTCGTAGATAGCATAAATATTAATTCTTGAGGCCATAATTACAGACCGAAGATAAAATAGCGTGGTCTGTATAATCTGTGGCTCTTCAATTTATTGTTTACCATATACTAGAAAATCCAAACTTCTAGGGTCATCCCTACTTTCGAATCACACTAGCTTTTTGTAATACCACCAATAAGTCACAAGGCAGAACCTTTGACATGCCTGGGATATACCAGTTTTTTTTACCCAACGACAATTATACGTTGCTTTAGGTGAGGTTAAATTCTAAAAGGAATAAAATACAAGGGTGTTTGTACAGGGAAATTATGATACCTATTTATTTTGTTTGTTGGATTTTGATAGACCAAAAACAATGATTTTTATGACATCTGGGTTTTTAGGGGATTCTTATGGCTCTCCAAGCTACTTATAGACTTATATACAGGGTGTTGGAAAAGTCTTAACACACTCAAAAATAGATTAAACGGCGTAAGATAAAGTTTTGCAGCTTAAACATATTATTATATGATGACTTTTATAGCTTTTTGCAAGAAATACAAATTTTGCCCCCCTCCCCCTTAAAGGGTAGGTAGGAGGCAACTAAAGATTTTCAAATATAAAGACCCATCTTGTGACCCCTCATTTTCAAAATTCAAAATGACAGATTCAAGATATCTTTAAACTGCTGCCATTTTCTACTCGGTTATCTGTTTGAGTTTAAATTTGCGGCATGGTATTCTACTAATTACGATCTTTAAAATGAGGGGTCACAACAAGGGTTTTTATATTTGAAAATGTTTAGTTACCCCCTATCTACCCTTAAAAGGGGAATGGGCAAAATTTAGATTTCTTGCAAAAAGCTAGAAAACCATCATATAATATATGTTGAATTTGCAAAGTTTTATCTTACGCCATTTAATTTATTTTTGGGTGTGTTAAGACTTGTTCAACACCCTGTATAATTTCAACAAATACAATACAGGGAGGCTCACAAAAAAACTGTTTCTTTAACGTTAGTTTTGTGTATTGTACTTGGTCTGCCATTTATTTAATGCTGCAGATGTTTAACACTCATCTGCAGTTTTGAACATTCGTATAAAAGTAAGCATATTTAAGCTATTTCCTGACTGCTTTCTGTAACTGATATATATACCTAGGTAAATATAGTCAATGATACAAGTCAATCGACTCATTTTTATCTATCTTCCATTCAACTTATTTTGAATTCCTAACTTTGAATAACGCTTAGACTGTTAGACCTTACAAAAAAATAACATTTTAGAATAATTTACCGATACCGGTTTTCCGAGTTTCTGAGTAAAGGGAGGTAGAAAACGAGGGCTCATTAGGGAGAAAGCACAGTCCTCATCATTTTTGAACATGAGCTCAGATTGCCTCTGGCCTGGAATTTAAAGATAAGACCTCTGAATTATTTATATCAATAGCAACACAAGGTACGCTTTGGTGTCTTTTTATATTATTTACAAATAAGTACTCAAAACTATTGTTGCTACGTCATCAGGCATATTGAAATATTATTTATTGAGAAAATTCCCGGCTCGACCATTAACTAAAATGTATACGAGTTTTAAATTCATCCGGTAATGGTTACTGTTTGGGATATGATTACAGGGGCTTACACACTTTGAGCAGAAGAAGACTTTCCAAGAAGATTTGAAAATTAATTTTCAACCATTTAATCTGAATTTATTAATAATAAACACACAAATATAAGCAGGGAGATAATTAATTTCATTAAATTAAATCTACTTAAAAACTGCTAAGAAGGCAACAAATGGTAGAGAATCATAAAATTTGCATTAAAGCTTCATATATTGATTCAAAAGCTAAACACCCAAAACGTTTTACTTTAAAAATATACTTTGTTAATAATTCTGTAAAGCTATTCAACTGTAAATTATGAATATTGATGTTAATTGTAGAAAAATAGAGTTTGTAAATATTACATTTAATGAGACAAGTATAAATGTTTTATTACTAAGAAAAAAATCCGTAGATTCCATAGTAAAAAATAAAAAATTAAACAGACTAAGGAAATATCTACCTGTAATTCTGCTGCGTTGCTTCAAAAATACGTTTTTGGCTAATCGGTTTGGTCTTTATAGTAGTTTACGCAACGATTGTGTAAGGATAGTGTTAACGACACGAGTAGAAAATTTTAAGGTACGAGCCTTGGTGAGTGCTTTAAAAACTTCTACGAGTGTCGTTAAGACTATTTACACGAGTTGTGTACATACCACACAAGTGTTTACCTACGAAAGTGTTTTAAATACTAAAAATCACTACTTATAACTTTTAAGAGAGGTTATGTTTTCGTTTATAACCTCTCATTGCCACTGACAGTGATGCAACGAAACATTGTATAAAATATTAATTGCACCAATCAACAATTAAATTGGCCTCAACAGCTGATTAGTTGAATTTCGTATCATTAGAATTTTGCTTCTCCTCTCTCAATCCTTGAACCTCATTGGTCCGTTACCCGGATTGTTATGAGTAAAACTATGCTGTTATGAAAGTAAACAATGCTGTTATGTTATACTTTTCAATTCTAAGAACTGTACTGAAACGGCTATTTTAAAAAAAAACTGTCGTTGGAAAAATAATTAACCTGATCAATTGATCTCAAAAGGTTACTGCAGAAAAGTAAATCGTCATGCGATGACAATTAAGGTTATTAAATTTAACTAATAACATATTGTACATAACATGTTTTGTAATAACATATTGAGGTACATATTGTATTTCACATTTCATTTGTCACAGCTATTTCCCTTAGTGAATAAATATGATAATAGTTGTATCAGTTATTGTAAATACGTAGGGTGAACTACCATTACTTTAAAGTAACGGTCGTCACGGCAGCTCAGTAGGCTACTGTTCAGTCCCCAACTTTGGCCACATTTTGTGATAACTGTCTTGAATTATGTATTATTGTTGATAAAAGAGTGGGCCTTTCCACATACAGTTTGTGTGGATGTTTTTATACTTTGTAGTGTAACGAAATTAATGATTAACAAATCTTGACTTGTAGATTAAGTTACCGGTATACGAAAGAAAGGAAATTTATAGTCACTGGTAAAAATTAGTAGGGCCTGAGCTTTACAATTATGTAAAGTAACTTCTTGATCAGCATTGTACGTGTTATTAAATTTACGGAAATTAAATAAAAGAAACGTTTTATAACACTTAAAATTGACAAGACGTTTCTTTTATTTACTTTCCGTAATACTGTAAAGTATACACATGGGAACTTAAACTTAATAATATGCGCAAGGGAAGATGGCATGGGTTTAAGATGTTTAAGGAAATTAATTGGTTCCTGATATTTTGCATTGGGTAGGCTTTGTATTGTAAACAGAGTGATCGAAATCTAAAGGTTAAAGTTGCTGAAAAATTACTACCTTATTATGTCACATCTATTATATTTATAATAACAGCAGATTACAAAATTTAACTCTTAAATTGTTTGAAAATTATAATTTGGAATGCCTATATATTATTTATGGTCGTAAAAAGGGGTACGAAGACCCCCTTTTATATTTAATTAATACATAATTATATTTTTTTCATTTATCGAGTCTAAACATTACTGTTGTATTATTGAGGACACTAGATGGATATTTAAATAATATACCATATATTAAGATATGTATATGATGAGCCAAATAACTAACATTTTAAAAAGCTATTTATTTCATATAAAAAGGTGTTAGCTAAGTTTTGATGTCGCAACGTGTGTCATTTCCAATATAGCAGAGTTTCAGAGTTGGCTTGGCAATAGTTACTCTGACTTTGACACATCAGGACAACTTTTACCTAAGCCTATTTAGTGTTCATATCAGCATAATGGGTTCAACTATAGGTATCCTACGGGAATAGACGCGTCTAATCCAGTTGTTTACTTGCGCAACATATTCTCTGCAATACGATTTTTAATCATTTACATGAAAACCACTAGATATATGTTTATTGAAATTTTAAGTCGGTATGCTATATTGTTTCGGTGGGGGCTGCTGATCTTTTGCCCTAGAAATCTATATTTAAGTCCAGTGTTAAATGCCATGTTGGTTTGGAGCCTAATTTCAGCGGAAGGTCCAACAATCTAGATTATAAAAAAACTGTACTTTCTAAGACAAATGGACCGGTGATTTTAGTTTGATTTCAAACCCTAACAGTAGAGCTGGAAAATTGGGTTCAAACGAGCACAGTGTGTCTTATGTTTGGCATGAGTACGAGTTATTAACAATATTTACGTTTTTTGGGTAGAATATAACTATTTGATATCTGTAAATGAGTTACATGTTAACACATTTAGACGATAT